CTTGACAGTATGGTGACAATGATGGATGATGACAGGAGTTCGAAAAAAAAAAACAAAAACAAGAAACCTCAAGATACATTTTGACCGCCAATAAACGTTTGCCGGCATCTATGTATACTTGAGTATCCAAAAGATAGGGTTATTCCGAAATTATTATTAATGATCAATTAGCAACGGATATGTATGACGGACAAATATATTATTGGAAATTATGTAGGTTAGTGTGCAACAAAAATACCAAAATAAAAATGTTCACAATTTGCGGGATATCCTTTGTGTTATAAAAAATGTATTTTTTTTAATTAACCCAATATTTCAGGAATTGTTATCCTTAAAACACTTTTTTAATAAAGTTTGCCAAAGAACCCCCAAAACTTGATTATTTAATTTTTGTAATCTTGTGCCAACCCTTGTCATATATCCATTTCACCGCTGAAATGCTCCTTGGGCATTAAGAAGGACCTAAAGAATTGGGAACAAGTGAATCGTTTTTTATCTTTCCTTTTGTTCTCTCTTCGTTTTATTTTTTTGTTGTTGTTCTTCAATATAATCATAACATTATGGCCTTTGCCGACATCAGCCATAACTTCTTCCTTGCCCTTGCTGTCATCAGCCTCATAATCAGTGCTGCCTTCGCCCCCTCACTATTACCGTCTTCTATCCTCCCCTCTTGCTGTCGTTAACCTTAATTATTTTTCCATTTTTCTTACTTTGGTCGATATTCATTCCACAAAGCTGTCATAGCATAACAAAACTTTAATGGAAATTAACAAAGATTTTCAGTTTAGATTAAGTTGTCTTAAAAAGTCTCTGTTGGGCAGCTGCGGCAGGCAGGCAAGCACTTTACTCCAAGAAAAAGAACAATGACATTTTTATTGTCTGCTTTTGTTTGCCTTCTTTTATTGTTAGTGTGCTGTTTTTTTTTCTTTTTTTCGTTTTGTTCGTCTGTCGTCCGTCGTTGTTTGGCTTCGTCGATATTGATTTCAACATTGTTCAATTTCAATTTTGGGCTTGAACACAAAAGTTGAAGGTTATTTCGATCATTATTCTTTCGAAACCCCCCCCCCTCAATGATTGATTGAGAAAAATCTAGGCAATTTTCGACCAAAAAATAATAAAAAACTGATAATCCACAGCAAAAACTCAATGACTTGTTTATGTTTACATTAATAAGGTTTTATAAATTAACAAATTGCATTAATGTTTTTTATTTATTTGAATAGGAGTTTTTTTAAGTGGAGATTTTCGCTAAAATGTGAATATTATAAAGTTTTAATGATTTCGAATTTTTATATGGGTAATATAGAATTTGGAACACACAATGAGTGGATGAATTGGCCAGGGGCTTTTTACGCTGCCCAGTAAACAATTATGTTAATAAAACCAATACACATACCACGCTACATCTCAATATCAAAGCCGAGGGGTCATTTTGGGTCCTTTTTCAATAAATTGTTCAAAACATCCTTTAAACGGGAGCCCAGCAAGTGTAATTATTTGTGATAAAATATTAGAACTCATCAAAACTCTCAATTTTTCCTAAAAGCCAGGAACTTATAAATAATAACAAGTAAAAAAAGCAGCTAAGTAACAAGTAAAAAAGCAGCCGGGCCTAACTTTTTATACCCTCCACCATTTGGAAGAAAGTTGAAAATTTTTCAAACAAAATTCTCTCGAAAAATACCGCTCGAATGAAAACCGCTATATGGGGGCTATACGAAGACGAGGTCCTGTACAAGTAATTTCTGTCACAGGTTGTAGTAACGGTTCCGAACTTTATATACGAAATTTTAAATAATTCCGATGAATAATGTTGAAAATACCGAACATCTGGGGGGAAAGTGCTAAATTATCAACAAAAGTTTTTAAAAACAACAATTGTTGATATTATTTTTAGGGTACATATTAAGTTTACAGGTTTCGTTTGTTCGGAGACTCATAATGAAATTTGATTTAGAATTTTTCTTCCTTTGATATATTTCCCGAAAAGTTAAATATTAAGGGAGATTTTGACTCAGAATTGAAACGCGTTAAATTAATTGTAAAAAATGTCAACTCATAATTTTCCCTTGCTTTCCTTAAAACAATCATTTCTGCCTAAAACGAAATTTTATGTTACATCCATTCGAAAATATTCCTTTTTTGAAGGTTTCTGCCTAAAACGAAATTTTATGTTACATCTATTCGAAAAAAAAAATCCGAGGAAAAATTATTAAAAAAGATAGGGGAATTTTTTTTTTTTTTTTTTTTTTTTTTTTGGAACATTGATGTTAATTTTCTAATTGAATCTAGATATATGATTTGTTCATAGATTTATAATGAAATTTAGTGTAAAATATTTCCTCCTTTGGTACTTTGTGGCTAAAACGAAATTTGGTGTTACTTTCAGGTCTCAACTCGGAAACAGTCCGAGGAAAAATTTATCAATAACATTAGGGAATATTTTCGGGGTTTTCTGAAGAACATTGATGCAAACTTTTTTATATGCAATGGAAATAGAGATTTCTTCTCTTTGGTGACTTATATACTTGATGAAGAATATTTTTGCCTTTTACGCCATCCTTCTAAATTGATGCTTTGTTGGAGATTTATGACACAAACTCACACAAAATGTGTTTTTAAAGGTTATTGTTCTCATAGCGTTAATATAAGATTTAGACTTTCGATGTATCCTGAGACCACTATTAGAAGTTCATGACAAATAAATTTGTAAAATATTTTGACATGTTAAGGGATTTTTAGGGATATTTTTAGAAATGAACCAAAAATACCCCTTTCCAGAACAGCAAACAAAAATAATCCTCGTATTATTATCAGTAATATTACCGAGGACACTACATATCTAAAATGCAGGGATTCCAAGAAATCTTAACTGGAAAATTTCAAAAAGTATGGAAGAGGCTGGAACTTGCACCCTTCGATTATTTTTCGAAGTAAACTTTCCAATTTCTAATAAACTGTAGTTTTGCTAATAATGACCAATGACCATTCAAAAATTGTAGGCTTTTGTCCTGATATACTCTCGGACACCACGCAAACATCCTCAAGGATTGGTCCAAAATTAAGACAAGTAGAGCGACTTCAATATCAGGAAAAAATCTGTTTTTGGTACCCCTTTTTTAACCCCTAATTATTTTGCGATTATTCCATGGCCTTCAATTCTGGTCCTAATTCTTACTTTTTGTAAAATTTCCCAAGGATCGGGTCATAATTGCGATGTGTAGTTTAATTACAAATTTACATGAAGAGACGGATGGACGGGAGGAAACCGAACCGAACCGAATATCGAATCACATCATCGAGAAATGATTGTCGGTGGATGTAGGATCAATATTTCGAGGTTTAAAAATGTTTTCTTTTTGCTTTTTTAATGCAATGTTTTCAGTTCACACGTTGGGCGCCACTTGCCCGTTGTTAAGCCCCAATATTCTCAAATTTTTACCATCGAGATATGAATTTGGGTATGCTTCATTGTGGGTCTAGAACACATGTTTCCGGTTGTCAAAATGTTTTGTTTTTGCTTTTTCAATGCAATGCCTTCAGTTCACACGTTGGGCGCCACTTACTCGTTATTAAGCCCCAATATTTTCAAATTTTTGTCATCGAGTTATGATATTGGTATATTTAATGGTGGACCTAGGATCAATATATCGAGGTGTCAAAACGTTTGGTTTTTGTTTTTTCCATGTAATATTTTCAGTTCACAAGTTGAGCGCCACTTGCTCGTTATTAAGCCTCCATAATTTAAAATTTTTGTCATTGAGATATGATTATGGGTATAGTTCCTGGTGGGTCTAGAACCCATATTTCGAGGTATCAAATTGTTTTTGCAATTTTTTCAGTTCACACATTGGGCGCCACTTGCTTGTTATTAAGCCCCAATATTTTCAAATGTCTGTCATCGAGATATGAATTTCGGTATGCTTTATTGTGGGTCGGTCTAGAACACATATTTCGGAGTGTCAAAATGTTTTGTTTTTACTTTTTCAATGCAATGCTTTCAGTTCACACGTTGGACGCCACTTACTCGTTATTAAGCCCCAATATTATCAAATTTTTGTCATCGACTTATGATTATGGGTATACTTCATGGTGGATCTAGGATCAATATTTCGAGGTGTCAAAAAGTTTGGTTTTTGCTTTTTTTATGTAATATTTTCAGTTCACAAGTTGGGCGCCACTTGCTCTTTGTCAACGGGATATGAATATCGGTATACTCTATGGTGGGTCTAGAATCCATATTTCGGGCTGTTAAAATGTTTTGTTTTTTGCCTTTGTGCTCACACGTTGGGCGCCACTTGCTCGTTATTAAGCTCCAATATTTTCAATTATCTGTCATTGAGATATGATTATCGATATACTTCATGGTGGCTCTAGAACCCATAATTCGAGCTGTCAAATGTTTTTTTGCCTTTTCAAAGATATATTTTCAATTTTCAGGTTGGGCGCCACTAGTTCGTTATTAAGCCCCAATATTTTATCTTGTTCTCTGGGGTGTCTATGATCCATATTTCGGAGTGTTTTTTTTTTTTTTTTGTTTATTTTTTTAAAGTTCCGCAATTGGATATCCTTGAAAACTCAGCTATGAAGATTATTGAATTCAAATTCTGCCCCACCGAATCACTAGTCCCAAAATCAAAAACTTAATACAAAAGAAACTAATCCATCCACCACCTTCTTTAATCCTTTGACATATTGACAACCCACTCTGAAGTTTTATGGCCTTCGGCCGAACAACCGACCCCCAACAAAGACCAAAGGAAACTAGAAAACCGTTAAAAAGGAAGTGGCAAAACATAATATTAGAAAAATTGCTGAAATCAGCTGGGGGGCCATATAAACAAAACTCACACCCACACAACCACACATATAAACAATAACATACACATAACATAAACAACTTTATTTTCCATGTGTGTGTGTGTGTGTAAAAGGAATGAGGAGGGTGGGGTTAGAGAATTTGGGGAATTATTTTGATTTTGCTTTGAGGGGATGTTTGCGGGTGGGTGGGAAGACGTTTGGTCAAGAGAAGGGGTTAAGTCGCAACTTGATTATGTTGTTAATATGTCATTTTCATTTAAGGTTTATTTTTGTTTTTAGTTTTTTTTTTTTGGAATGTTGTTGTTGTTGCTGTAAATCTTGTGAAGTCAAAGGAAAAATATATAGAGATAAAGAGAGGGAGAGGGGAAGAGAAAAAAACATTTTTACATACCCGGACTACCCAAATCCGTAAGATTTGCATTTGCCGCATCCATGCCAACCGCCACAGCACTGGTAATCATTGTTAGCCGTAACAGCAGGAGACAACATAGCTGTAGGCCAAAATGCCTAATAATGTTGTTGTAGATGCCGGCCATGGCTTGTGTTATCGATGACAATGATGATGATGATGAGGACGACGACAATGATGATGAGAAGCACTTTGGCCAAGTTGAGGATGCTGATGTCGATGAGGGTGACTTTGTTTTGCATTTAAGGCTTTTGTTGGACTGCCCATGTTGTTGTTTAGCAGGATAAAGCTTTGTAGAGTGTAAGGACGATGATGATGATGATGTTGTTGTTCCTCCTTCTGTTGTGGTTATATGGCCTACTTGTTGTCCACATCCCAGGGTCCTTAATGGCAAATTGCTTTCCCTGTTTGACCAACACCACCAACTCCAACAATTCGCTGGCTCTCTACTGGCTGCAGATGTTGTTTTATGGAAATCCACTGCTACGTCTTCTTCTTGTTTATGGCTAATAATGCTGTTGTTGGTGGTGGTATTTGAAATGTTGTAACAGCCACTATTCAAGCTTGGTGCTGGCCTGCTACTACTGCTGCTGTTCCAGTTGCTGTTACTCAGTCGATATTTTGCTAGTCGTTGTGGCTCTTGTTGCTCCTTTTCATCATCAGGGTGTTGCAGGTTTTGCTGAGTGGGACATGTTCTCCTACTCTGTTGTTCTTCTTCTTCTATATTGCCACATTTCCCGCTGTTTAATGTTGTCGCATGTTCTCCATCTCTGCCCGTTGTCCTCCTGACTATACGAGTTGCAACTTCCTGGCCGCTGGCCACAAAACTGCCATGCTCACAGAAGCCGCCCTGAAAACACTGACATGTACAGCCATTTTTTGGACAGATTTCATTTAATGTTACTAATTTGAGAGGAGGATGGGCGGGAGGAGAAGGACATCGCCTTGATGGAGGTGAGAGCTCGGCAGAGATGTGTGATGTTAATTTTTCCCGGCTTTTGTTAAGTCTTTTTGGACATTGGTAGGGTTGTTGCCTGAAATCCTCTCTCTCGAGTGGGGATTTATGTCCCGTACCACTGCTAGTAGTTGAGCTAATGTAGTTGCTGCTGTTGCTACTCCGAATGCTTTGAAAGCTATTGTTGTTCATTTTTATATCCATCATTATATTCCATTAGATTAGATGCATTGGCTGAGACACAAGGGGGGTTCGGTTTACACGTTGGGCGCCACTTGGTTGGTTAATAAGCACTGATGTTTTGCAAAATTGTAAGGGAAGTTCGCCTTATACGTTGGGCGCCACTTGGTTTTTAATGGGCGTCACTTATTCTCAAAATTGCAAGGGTTTTCAAAAGTTCACACGTTGGACGCCACTTCTTAATATGCCCAAATTTTTTGAAAATTGTAAGGTGGCTTCACTTTACACGTTGGGCGCCACTTGGTTTTTAATAGGCGTAACTTTTTCTGTCAAATTGCAAGGGGTTTCCAAAGTTCCCACGTTGGGCGCCACTTCTTAATATATAATAATTTTTTGAAAATTCTAACGTGGCTTCACTTTACACGTTGGGCGCCACTTAGTTTTTAATGAGCGTCGCTTTTTTTCTCAAAATATCAAGGGGTTTCAAAAGTTCTTACGTTGGGCGCCAATTGCTTGTTTTTAAGCCCCAATGTTTGCCAAATTGCAATGTTGATTATGTTGTTGTTTTTGTTGTTACTTGTTGATTAGCAGCTGTGTTTGTTGCTTGTTGTTGTTGCTGTTGTTGTAGATGCTGTCCAACCGATAACATGAAATCATTTAATTGTCTCCTTTGGTACGGAGCTGTGTGGTTGCCACCACCAACATCAATTCTCCTCTTTCACTTGAAAGCTGCAACAAATCCTGTTCTTGTTTTATTTTTGTTGTTGTTTTTTTTTTTCCTGAACATTCAAAAATGTATTTCGATTCTTTTTTTTTTTTTTTTTTTTTTTGTTTTGGATTTTCCGCGGAAAAACGTTAATACGCTCGCTCACTCGCTCAGAGCGTAATTTTTGGTTTGTGTTGTTAACACGCTTGAGTTTTGTAAGGAAATGAACGCAAAAACCCAACACCCCGTGTTTAATCGAAATTTTCAATTCGAGTCTCTGTTGGACTGCCTGGTCGCCCGCCCGCCTGCTTGGCGTTCGTTCTCTGTGTTTATCTTTTGGTTTTGTTTAGAAATGTGTGCTAGGGTGTTCGGGTGTTCTTGGTGTTGTTTGGATATCTACAAACACCACCTATCCGTGGCAGCACACACCAACAACAAAAGGAAGAGCAACAGCGTTGATGAGGAGAACAGCAAAGGCGCTGGTAAACTGCAGTGAAACGCCGTCGCGGAGGTTGATGATAAAGTTGACCTGTTGTTGGCGTTATTGGTGGTAATGTTTGCGGTGGTATTGGTAATCGTATTCGTATTCTTATTCTTGTTGTTTTTGTTATTGTTAGGAATAAACCACATTGACATTGCCGCCGATGACAATGCCGCTATACGGGTTATTTGATGTTGGTTTCTCTGCCAAAGATCGTTAATACACTTGGTGTTGTTGTTCCGATCAGTAGGAGACATTGTTGTTTTAATCATCAAATTGTTGTTTACATTGATTTTTCAATATCACCAAAAACAACAACGACATGATTTTCTTGTGCATGCCGATGATTTCCATTGCGGCGGCATATGGTACCAGGTTTTTCTTATTTCTCGGGGACTTTTTTCCAATATTTTTTTTTTTTGTTTATTTCGCTGTTTATTTACAATAATTGTTTTTTTTTCTTTTTCTTATTGGCTGTGTTTCTGTTTATTTTGGACAAAACGTTACCATATGTAGTTAGGTAGATAGGTATGTCGTCTTGGCTGCTATTTATCAATTTAGTTATGGTAGAACTTCATTCCTTTCTACCATTCAATTGTTGACTCTCCACGACTTCACTTGGGGTCCGCCTATGTGTGTGTGTGTGGTACGTTTTTATTTTACTATTTACATGCAAAAAGTAAATAATTATATCTGGAAAGAAACAAAGAAAAAGAGAGAGAGAGAAACAGAGATAAGTTTTCAATTTATCATCAATTGCATATTTACATTTCAATTTCTCAAAAAAATTAAAACAATTCCCCCCCCCCCCCCCATTATTATCTCAATTCTCAATAAGATTTTGTTTTTCTTTTTCGATTTCTTCGCCAATGTTTTTTCAAGTGAACAAACATCAAACAACGCTCGAACAAATAACCTTAAAGTGGACAATAGATAGATAGATATGCCATTAAGCCAATAAATATACGTAGGGTATTTTTTTCCGTATTTTTCTGTTGTTGTGGTTTGTTTTTCTTTCGTCTTATTCAAAAAGTTAAAGAGGATAATGTTAGATTACGCCACATTTCATAAGGATGAGAATGATAAGAGTATAATATGAAAAGAAAAAAGGAAAAATATAAAATTTTTTTAAATGGTGTTCTTAAAAAAAAAAAGATAAAAGTATCGCCAACCGGAACCTAGCTAATATTATGGCTATTGACAAAATATATTTTTATACCCTCCACCATAGTATGGAGGGTATATTAAGTTTGTCATTCCGTTTGTAACACCTCGAAATATACATTTTTGACCCGTCTGTGGAAATCACTCTAGCTTTCAAACGAAATGAAGTAGGTTGATAATATTTTACTCAAATGCGTATTAAGTCTGCAGAACTTTTGGTATTGAAAATTGGCCATGTAGGTCCACGTCTTCGTATACCCCCCATACAACGGTACCTCCCGATATTCGGTATTTTGATGATTTTAGCGACATTATTTACCGGAATTGTTTCAAATTTTGTATTTGTATACTACAGCATAAATCAGAAAATGTGCCATGTTGGTCCACGTCTTCGTATAGCACCCATATAACGGTACCTCCCGATATTCGGTATTTTGATGATTTAAGCGACATTATTTACCGGAATTATTTCAAATTTCGCATTTGAAGTTCGAAATGGAAACTACAGCCTCTGACAGAAAATTGTCTTTGCAGGTCCACGTTTTATAACCCCCATGGTACCTCCCCATATTCGGTATTTTTATGATTTTAGCTACATTATAAACAGATTTTTTTCAAGTTTCGCATTTGAATATTGTAATAGCTTGAGACAAAAGTCACCTATGCAGGTCCACGTCGTCGTATAGACCCTAATATACGGCTACATTCGGTATTTTTGAGATTTTAACAGAATTTTTAACGGATTTTATATTTTTGAAAATTGCCAAATTGGTACCAAATGGTGGAGGGTATTCAAAGTCCGGCCCGGCCGAACGAACAGCTTTTTTCATATGTTTTTTTTTAGCTCTCTTTTATGTTTTAGAGGATGATCCTACTAGCCTTTATTTTTCGAATTAAGTCCTAATTCAACATAATATGACTTGAAAACTCCTTTTTTACCTTACAACCGACCCTTCCGAAATGGGAGATTTATGTATATTTTATTTTTGTTTTTTTGTCCCTTTTTTAAATACAGTTCAGAGTACTTCACTCTTAGAATATAGGCAAGAATTGCAATTTCCCTACTTTACATAGCTGTCTTCCGATGTCTTAAAGCTATGAAGAGTGAAATCTTAAGAAACAAATTGATTGTGTGAAAAGCTGAATATTATACCACCCGAGGTCTCTTTGGGCGAAATCAAGTCCTTGTATTCGTCCGTCTGTCTGCCTCTGCGCACAATAAGCCTCGCAGGGATTAACCAACTTTGTCTGAATTCGGTTAATTGAACAATTTTGACCAAACTTATATATATTTCGGAGATATTTTTGCCAATATTCAAATGGAATAATGAAAATGGACAATTTTTAGGTAGACCAATCCACCCTAGCCAAAGTTTGAAAATAAAGGAAAATCTCATAAAGAAGGAAGAAAGTACCTTACATAGCTTAAACATGCCTCATGACAGTACTATGATAAGAATTGGGTTATGTGCGAAAATGGCTTATATTGATCCACTTCTTCTAGTACCTCCCCCACAAAAGGTCTACCAGTTAAATAATAAGTCTCTTAAAGTGGGAAATCACTGCAAATGCCTTTTTAAGGAGCCAACATGGGAAATACTAGGCGAATGACTCTTCCATCTACCTCCCCCCAAAAAATAAACATTTTGAATGCCACTAACTCTCAATAGATGTGTAGCATTCAATTTTTGTTTCATCTTCGCATCCCCTAATAGGATACCGGTTCACTCCTTTTGGTACCACTATTCCAAATTGGTCAACATTGTTAATAATAATAACATTCAAATACTAAGGGTACATATCTGTCGGAATATCGACTGAGACTTGTTTACAAAAAATAAAGATATGTTGCTAAAGCAAGTTGTAAAGAATCGCCGATCTATTTCACACGTTATGACAGATCCAAGTATTGGAAATAGCGACTCTTTGTGGGTGAGGTACCAGAAGTGGTTGGCAGATATATATCTTCTTCACAACAGATCTTGCGTTAGCAAAAATATTTGGAACCCTATATGGGGGAAGTAGCAGAAGAAATGGTATAGATCGGACCATCTTTATAAGAGATCTTGTGTTGATGGAAATATTAAGATTTGCCAAGTCTGAATGGAATCGGTTGTTAATTTCGTATTCAAAATTTGAATATTCAAAATTTTTACCTTTTGTGGGGAAAGTACCGGAAGGAATGGATCGATATATTCCATATTCACGCCAGACCGTGGATTAATAAAAACATTGTGATGTGTGTAATTTGATAAAAAAACGGGCTCTTACATCACATTTTATATGAATTAAAATTAATCTAAATTTAGAACCTTTGCAGTAACTTTTTTCTTTGAAAATGTTGACATTTTGTGGGGGAGGTACCAGAAGGAGTAGACCGATATTGCCCATCTCCGAGCTCGATCAAAGTTTGATAATAATATTACGATGTACCACTGAAAATACATTAAAAATTATATTTCTTGGTCAGATACCCTTAAATCTCATCGGTTCGTGGACTAAAAATCACCTGAAAAATATCGCTTAAAAATCCTATCACTGGAATATATGTTGAAAAACTACACGATTTACAAAGAATCTAAGCTTTTCGGTCTGAAAGTCCATGAAAAAATGTGAGAATGTTTTTACGATTATATCCCTCTTAAAGTCTTAGAAGTATATAAAACTATATTCTTGAAAAATATTTTTAAAAACATCACAATTTGAGGTTGGAGGTTTTTCAATTTTTTTTTTGATTTTGGGATTTTTGAGGCTTCCTCAAACAAATACTTTTAAAATAGTTTGAAAATATTGTTAAAAAACATAATTCACAAAAAGAAAGCCCTTGAAAAGGTTTTTTTTTTTTTTTTTTTTTTTTCATAATTCTTGACCATTAGTCTTTGAAAAAAATATCGATTGGCCGATAGACTTTTAAAAAATATTTTGTAAGCCAGTAAAAATAGGTCAAATGACCAGACCAAACAGTTGTTGCTCTCCATCATCATGAAAACTTGCATTGTGGCCAAAACTTTTATCCTCAATATCCATAATATTAGGAAATTCCGTTATATGAGAGTGTACCTACTTAGCATATTTTTTGAGAAAAGGTAATCGTCCTTCAATGAACCTGAAATATCAAATTATGCTGACCTGGTTTGAAATTAGGGCCGAAATCTTTAAAATACCAATATGGGTGTTATTGGTAAATGTGGACCTATATCTAGTAAATCTAGCCACAAAGAACTCGAAATATTTGAATACATCTGGTTAGAAATTGGGACCAAATCTGAATATGGAATACTCTCGAAGGGATGTAATCTAAACACTGAGAACTCGGAATATTAAATTAGAGCCGATTTTGTTTAGAAATTAGGTACGGGCATCTTTAAAATACCGCATATCAGGAAAACTCGGTATATGGTTGGTACAAGTAAATAGTATCATTGACCGTACCGGAATGTTAAATTAGACCTGATTTTTTTTTAGAAATTAGGTGCGGACATCTTTAAAATACCGCATATCAGGATGTATCGGTATATGGTTGGTACAAATAAATAATATCAATGACTGTGAAATCTCTGTGATCAACCTACAGGCAGACATACGAACCTTGCAATGTCGGTATAAAATTTTATACTTATATTTCAAGGTTTTTTAGCATTATTGGACACATTTCATGTGGGATCCATTGTAGAAATATAAATATCGCTCTATTTTAACAGCAAATCTCGTGTGATCTATTTATGTTATTATTATTTCTTCAACCCACTAAATTTACACTAAGAACATAATTAATTACAACTACAGCCCCCACGCATGCACTCACACACGCACCACATCCATCAGATAACAATTGTGACCAAGTTACAGACAGACATTCCATAAACAAATTGATTTGAACACAACATTTTTACATGGAAATATTCATTTATAATTACAATATTGGGTGTAAAAAAACTGAAATCTCTTCCATTTCATTCACATCGAACATGGACCAAAAATTCAAACTCTAACGTAGTATCTTGCCGACAATAATTAACGGATTTGTCTTTTGAATGAATGCGCGAATGCCAATGATGTGATATTTTATTTAAAATAATGTTGTTCTACACAGCTGTCGATGATTGGGTGTTGTTGTTACAGTTGTTGTTACAGCAATAAAACCGGTACATTTACGTATTACACATAATTAATGAAATTATTTTATTATAAAAGATAATCATCGAACAGCGGCAAGCAGGCGGTGAGCCAGCCTGCCATCCCGGCAAGGCAACGGGTGTCAGTCGCTGTGATACAAAAATCGGATAATTAATTAATGCAATACTACAAAGCTCGACATCAATAGCTGTAAATAACAAGAATAGCAGCAGCAACAACAACAACAAAAACAACAGCTATGGCGACAAAAACTAACGCCTGAAAAGGAAATGCCAGCCGAAACATCGACGAAAATGAAATCTGTTTTGGAAGTGTGCACTGTGGGACCGAAGAAACAAGAAATTACAAAAAAAAAATTGAAAAATAATTTTTTTAATTCGTACTCTTTGAGC